TTATGCAAAAATTGCACAAAAATTACACAATTATTACATTCAGTGTAAATATTACATCCTTTTTATGCGAAATATTATGTCATTTCATATTAAAACTTACGGATGTAAACTTGCATCAGAAAAAATTTCCTGATGAACCATTGTGGTCAATGTGCTGCTGGGATGACTATAACTTCATGGAGTGCTAGCTACCAGCCATTTTGGAGCCAGGCAAAGTCCTGTTGTAAGCCTAGTAGGCAAACTAGTTTAACTGGTGGTACTTGAAAAATATCTGGCTTATACCCTACATATGTTTCTGGTGTTACATGGAGCATTTTACATCTCGGTTCCAGTTGTTTGACACCTTGTAGATTGGCAATATTTTATTGCATAGATTAAGATTAGCAAAATTTTTAATTGTTGGCTTTTTTCCAAAATATAGAAATAGGATATGTTGTGTGATTTATATTTTTTAACTGTATATATATATATATAAGGCACGAGGTCCAGTCAATCCTTTACAATATACATCAATAAATTGCCAAGAGTGCCTTGCATACTTTCTAATATGTTCTAAAGATATTGATTCAAGACCTTCTGGAACAGTTTTCTTGTGTATTTTTTTGCTGCTTCCCAACATGAACCCATTCCTTTTTTCCTTAAAGAGTATGATTTTTTGATCCAATAAGTTTTTTGATCATCATTAGCACAACAAAATACAGACTACTGCATCAGGAAATGTTCTCCACCATAATATTACATCTGTAAGTTTTAATATGCAATGTTATAATATTTGTATAAAATTATGTAAATATTTTATCTGTTCATTCATCATTTCCATCCATCATCTAGTAATTTCTCAAAAAATACATCAGTCAGATTCAGCAGATAATCTGTAGAATCCATAGAATCAAATAGATGATTTGGATGATCCATGGATTGAACATATTGAACAAATAATCTAATGATATTAGCATCATTTTCAAGATTATTTTTATATGCACAATTTATCAAAATGCTAGATTGAAAACTTCTATTGCCATCATAATGACAATGACAAAAACAATAACATGTGCCTATAGTTTGAGGCAACACAAATATAATATCTCTATATCAATAATATCATCTAAATGACAAGCTTGAAAAAAAAAAATTATATCCCCCCATTTGAATTGAATATTTTATTTGTAAAAAATATATTCACAGAATGTTGAAAGTTTTACATTGAACTTTGCAACTTGTAATTACCATCTAATTCATTATGTGATATAAAATTACATTATTAATCCTTTTTACCTAATGATATTACATGTTAATAAGATGCTTATTTATTCAACAACACATTTGTTATTGTAATCCATTTAACTATCATAAAACATAATGGGTGCCTTCAAAAATTATTAGAATGAGATTGAGATCGAATTTTAATATTAGATATGAAATTTCAATCTAGGTCCAGGTAGTAAGATTGAAAAAATAAACAAACAATAAAAAAATAAAAAAAAACAAAATGAAATATTGAAATACCCAAAAAACAAAGACATAAATACTAGAATCATTTAACATTGGTATTTGTAAGTTCAAAGTTCAATTCATTTCTTTGATGCAAAACAATTAATAAAAGAGAAAAGAGATGTAAAAACTTCCATTTTTAATATTTTTTATTAATAATTGTCGATCATCATGATAAAATAATTTTTGATCACAGATTGAAAATTTCAATTTCAATCTAATAATTTTTGAAGGCACCCAATGATAATATTCATACCTTCCTTTGATCTAGTAGATACAAGCATGTTGCAATCCTTTATATTGTAGAACTAGAAGTAATTTTTCAGTGTAAGAGTACTTTTAAACATGTTGGTTCACTTTTTTTTTACTTAAATTTACTTTGACAGTATATAAACATAAAATACTCTATTACGGAAATTCCGTATGAATTATAAAACATATTAATATGGAATTTTTCCGGAAAAAATTACAATAATAATTGATTTTACTATTACTATTACTATGATGCTTATCCGGAATTTCACTATGTATTATAGATCCTTTCATTCACTGATGGATCACGAATTGAGCTTGCAGAACATATACCTACAACTTAACAACGTAACAGTGCCATAGTTTAGAAATACTTATTAGCATTGATGTAAATTTTTCGAAAAAAAGTGCTGAAATAGGGCTTTTACACTTCAGTCGTTCTAAAGAGAGATTTTAAATGTGAAGAATGTGAGCCTTACTTTTCCACTTTGAAATAAATGCAAAAGACACAAACAACATTAGTGGTGGACGGTGATGATGATGATGATGATGATGATGATGATGATAACAACAACAACAACAACAACAACAACAACAACAACAATAATAAAAGGAAAAAATGTCAATATTGGAAATGGATAAAGAAATTATTGTTGTTTAACGTGTTAGGGTTGATATTATGGTAAAGTGTGACGAACGATTCAAATTTATTTTTTTGAGAAGGAAATTTCCCATTCTTACAAACATTCATTTATTAAAATTAAATTGGTGTTCATTTCAGGATGGCTTGTAAACAAAATTTTTTATTAAAACAATGTTATTTTTCTTGTGTTGTTAAAATGGTTTCACAAATACACCATTCATAGTGTGAACACTTTTTAGATTAGAGTTAGTGCAGTATGATAGTTATATATGTGTATGTTATAAAATACTTTGTATTTTATAAACAAGTGAAAAAATTTTTTGCAAAAATTTAATAAAAATTAACGAACAAATAAAATCAATTCAGTTTCTTCTCGATTTCTTGATCTACAATATTGTTGTGTATTTGTTTTTGCATAAAATTTATTGCTATTGCCTTTTTTTCCTTAATTAATTTAAATATTACGGAAAAAAATTTGGAGATAATAATAATAATAATAATAATAATAATAGTAAATATTATTTGCATATCAATTCCAAAAGTTACATGATGTATTCAAGCATTTTTTTTGGAACTTTAAATTCCAAGACCATTCTTTGATTTTCAGTTATATCATATCCTTCATTTTCATTCTATTCATCATTCAACGAAATCTTTTCTTTTCCTTTTCCGGTCTATAATACATTATGGGATAATCATTCGACAATAGTAAAACAAAGGTATGCATACTAATTTTATAGAAAAATTGATTTTCATAAGTTTCTATAAATAAAAAAAATTATTCACCAACTTCTGATTAAATTAATAGGCGAGAGTCAAATTAATTTACATGAATAAATATAGTAATGTAATGCACCTAATATTTGAGGCACCTATATATATGTTGACCGGGACTTGTTATTGGCGAGTCATGAACTGAGAAAAGGAAAAGGATGAGGTTGGTAGTTAATAGGGAGAACAACAGTTATTTATCTTTATTTTTTTTTTGCTAAACTTGAAACATTCATTAACCTTGTATGTTTTTAGTCAAAATTCAACAATCTATATTTAAAAAATATGAAGAAGTTAGTTGGAACTTTAATTTGGTGGTGTAATTAGTAGCACTCTCCAAATTAGGTTATGGTATAACTCAATTGAAATATATGTGTGTTACGCAGTTACAACATAAGCCCTCCTTACTTCTAAAAATATATTTCGAAAATTAAATATTTCCTAAACAAGATTTTTTCGGCATATACAAGTTGGACAAGATTTCGTGAAAATATAAATACAATTAATTTTTAATTCGCAACAATTTAATAAATAATTTTTTTCATTAAATTTTTTTAATTTTGTTAATGATATAAGGGAAAAAAATTATTTATTTTTACAAAAAAAAAAACAAACACATATAATATACCATTGAACTTTATTCGATTTTTATCTATTATTATTATTATTATTTTACCAAAGGACAAAATGAACAAAACTAGCACAAAAACATTGATAACACTTTTAGTAGTTCTGATAAGTTTTATTTTCATTGTCGAGTTCACAAGTCCAATTCAATCAATTAATATTGGACATTTACAAAAAAGACAAAATCCGGGTAATTATAATTATCTTTATTTTATATTACGCATTTGATCGATTCTAATTGATTTATTTATTTAAGATTCAACACTTACTACCTAGATTGATTTTTTAATTAATTAATTAAATAAATTATTTATTTTTGATTTAGCACCATCACCAGACAATCCACCACCAAAGGATAATCGTAATTATATATTTTATTTGTTAACTTTTTTCGTTTTTGTTTTTAAAATCAAAAAAAAAATGATGTTTATATATTTCTTTATTTATTTTATAGCACCACCAAAGGATAATCGTAATTATATATTTTATTTGTTAACTTTTTCTTTTTTATTTTTGAATTAAAAAATGATGTTTATATATTTATTTTATAGCATCACCACCACCAAAGGAGAATCGTAATTATATATTCTATTTGTTAACTTTTTCGTTTTTATTTTTGAATTAAAAAATGATTCTTATATATATATACATCTTTATTTATTTTATAGCATCACCAGCACCTCGTAATTATTATTTGTTTATTCAGTTTTTTCGTCTTTATTTCTTGGATCAAAAAATGATGTTTTATTATTTATTTATTTCATAGAACCAACACCTGATGCAACACCCAACCCAAATCCACCACCAGCTGCTCCAAGTGCACCAGCACCCAACCCAACACCTGATCCAAATGCAACACCAACGCCTGATCCAAATGCAACACCAGCACCTAATCCAACACCTAGTCCAAATGCACCAGCACCTAGTCCAAATGCACCAGCACCCAACCCAAGTGCACCAGCACCCAACCCAAGTGCACCAGCACCCAACCCAACACCTGATCCAAATGCACCAACGTCTAATTCAGCAACAACTGGTAAGTTTTAAGAAAGGAAATAGCACATATATATAAACAGAGTATATTGATAGTTGTATATCGAGATAGATAGATTTAGATTTCATTAAAAATATAATTATAACTATAAATATATACATTATAAATATATAGTTGTTAGTATTACTAGTGATACTACCACTAATACAGTTAGTCCAATTGTCGATAGCCCAGTTGTTACTAGCTCAACTGGAACTAATGCTACAAATGCTGATACAAATGCCGGTACACACATATATATATATACTCAAAAGAGAATAAATTTTGTTAAAATATATTATTTATGATTTATGATTTTTCTTTTTACAGGTCCTAATCCTAGTCCTAACACTGGTGTTCCTTCTATATCACCAACAGGTAGTCCTTTCATACTATTAATTATACAATTAATATATTTATATTTATATTTATATTTATATTTATATTTATATTAATATTTACGTTTATATTTATATTAATTAGTTTCTCAATCTACTACTACGTCATATCTACCTGGACGAGAACCATGCACAAAAGCTGATGATCCAAGATGTGTACGTGGGACAACAGAGTAAGTCTTAAATTTGTGATTTCTATTTTCATTATTTTCAACCAATTAATCAATCAAATTAACCAATTCATTTCGAAAAAAAATAATAATAGTCCAACGGTGGTCAGTACAACCGAACAAAATGAAATAATTACACAACCATCAACAACACCTGCAGCACCTACAACGTCCCAATCACAACTAGCTCCAAACCCTAAAAAATCAACCATAACGCAATTCACAACCTACACCACCACTTCAACAATGTATTTCCCAGGGTACTCTACTGTTACGTCTTCAAAAGGGACCGATGGAGAATTAACAACATACGCAACTTACATTCCACCAAGTACTGTCGTGGTGGTCAAGAAAGTTACCTCTGCAAAAGTAGAAGAAATTCAGGAAACTAATCCTTCTTCAGCTGGACATCTTGATCTGGAACTCTCGGTTTATAATTTATACAGTGTTGCTACATCATTATCTGTTATCGCTGTAACAATGCTTTATTTAATTGTTGCTTAATTAAATAATAGTATTTGTTAATAATAATAGGGGCTTTCTCTTTTTTTTTGTATTAATAATAATAATAATAGTAATAATAATAGTAATAATAATAATAATAATAATAATAATAATAATTTATAGAATTAGTGGGTAATAGGTTTATGGTTTTTTGTTTTTTTGTAATTTTAACTTATTTATTATCATATATTAATGATATTAATAGTAATATTTAAATAATTTATGATTTTTATGACTTAATAAATAAATATCAATAAGTAATGAGGGGACCTCACTCGGGTCTTCTTTATCAACATCTACAAATCTTTTCGTAACGTCTACAACAGTTAACAGTTAACAGTTGTCTCATCACATTTTGAATTTGGCATGTCCTGGTTTAATCAAGTGCATTCACGATCACTAAACACAGCATTATCACAGGTAATCTCAATTTCTTAATTACTAATACTACAAGCGTATTTAATGTACGCGTCAATAATAGCGAGATTGTTATTACCTACAAAATCTACAGATGATACATCATTCCTTGTCTTCTAAAACCCAATAATTCCAAGATATGTTATAGCGTTGCGTTTAGCATGTTCTGTATATGTGACTGCATCTCTGATTGCATTTTTAGGGAAAGCCTATAAAACACTGGAATATTCGAATAGCCAGCTTGGTGATACCTTGAATATTGTCACGTAAACTTTTACAATGTCGTATTTTTCCCCTCCTCCAACCCCTGTAGTAGTGGTATTTGTATCATTAATAACTTCTTCCTCTCCACATCCCTGATCAATTCAAATCAAACCAGTTTAACCGCGTTTTAATCAGTTTGGTTTACATTTATTTAAACGTATATATTTAATTTCTATTGGTCAGTATCAACTGGCCCCGTGGTCCTAACTTGATTTATTGAATCAATAATATACTTTATTAATTTTTTTTTTAGAATTTTTCCTCAAATAAAAGGCAAATATATATTATTACTGTTATTAATACTGCCGCTGTCACCACCATTTCCCGATTCAAAGCTCCAGTTTAACAGCGGGTTTTCAACTTAGATTAACAAAATTGAGTTAAAAATTTTTTTTTGATAATGCTGCACTTTCACCATCACTTCAATTGTTCAAATTTTTGATAATAATATTTCATCAATAATAATTCAATTCGAATACAAGACATTACACTTATGCCTTCCATTTTCATCATCAATCATCTTAATATAATAATTCACAAATACTTGGAACTACTACAAAAGTAGATGAAATTCAGAAGTACCCTTCACATATAATGGGATTGGAAAAACTTCAACCGGTACTTTTAAAAATCAAATCTGATGAATAATTTGTTTTTTTAAAAAATTTCATCTATTATAAAAATAAAAACATGGATGGGTCAATAAAATTATATAACTGTTGCGGCTCAGACTGCCATGGTAAGCCGCCAGTCGGTGCGTTTTTTTAATGATGGGAGTGTTTGATCAGTAGGGATTGGAACGGTTCGGTTTATAGACTGCCAATGTTACTATTATGTTGATTTATGTATTATATTATCCTAAAAATTAAATTATATTAGTATCAAAAACGAAATAATCAATCTTCTTGATGATTTATTTACTAAATTTGAATTAATCGACTCAAATTTTTTTAATCTCGATACTAATATTTACCAGTGTATGTATGTATGCTATTTTTCAAGGTAATAACCAAACACATACTCTTGGTTATCATCATTATTATCATCAACACAATCTAATAACAGATTCATGTAGCTTGAATGGATAGTCGAAAACATATTGACAAAAGGTTAATGTTACTGCGCCTCTGTATATGATTCGATTGACATTTTAGAATGGACAAATAAATGACTATGCAAAAGTTGCATCTGGATATATAGAAGCCTAATCTATACTGTACAGAACCTCGATCGATTGTCACGCGCGTCAATTTTGTATAGAGATTGATCACGTTATCTTTTTCTAGTAAACTATATTGTTGCATAACTAATACTCGTGGGGCAATGCAATTTACTTTACTTTATTCCATTTACAAAAAATCAAAATAATAAGAAACAACCTAATGAATATGGAAAGAGGTTTCAATGTTTTGATGTTAAGAAGCATACTTTAAGAAGCTAGATGGTATTCAAGAATTTCATCTTTTTTTGATGCTTCAAATTCTGGTGTTCTAAAGGTCTCCCTCCTCTCATTAATTCAAGCTATTGAAGATTAAGAGAATAGAAATCTTCAACACATCATAAAAGTTATTAAAGGTTTATCATTTCCATATTAACACCCGTTCCTATGGATCTCAAATATCTTTACAAGGACCTCAAGAACTATACAGATGGGTTACTACTACATCTCAAAGTAAAAGGTCTTATTAAAAACGCAGTGCTTGTGAAAAAATTTTCACTAATCAGCCAATTACATTAATGTTTTTTTTGTTAGTGAGTGACATATCTATCTACATGATTTTCGAATAGTCCTTATTCACTCTAATTAATTATTCTTTCATAATTTTTATTTTATTTTATTTAGTAGGGAAGATCTGCAACCTAAATAAAATATTATCCGTTTTGACCATCATAATTAGTATCAATATTTGGTGACTGGTACTTGACATGAGCATAGGCCCACAAATTCGTAGAGATATATGTAGCTGGCTGTGTAGGTGACACGAGCATAAATTCACTAATTCGTAACGAAACGAGCCAAGAGATGCAAAATTTGACGACAAAAAAAATTATTTAATACGAAAATTGTTTAAAACATCATAATAAGATTAATTAAATTATGCCTTCCATCTTAACTGCAGTTGTGTTGCAAGTAATGATGTTAGCCGGCTAATAATCTGCATGCATAATTTCTAAATTTGGTAATAGATTTCCGCGTTACTTTCTTGTTATAGAAATAAAATTACCAATTTAGGTAGTAAACGGCTTAGCCGGCTAAGGATTTTTAAACGGCAACATCACTAGTTGCAAGTGGTTCTAATGTTTTAAATGGGGTAGCAACCTCAAGACTTAACAATTATTGTTGTTTTCCAAGATATAGAGTTTCGCAATTGTGCAAAAGTAAAAAGATTTCGCCATAAGCTGAAACTAATGATACAACTTTTTAATTTTAAAATTAGTTTTGACTTTTGCCTCTTCAAAATAATTTTGGCGATCAATACTATCGATCAACGATACTTTAATTTTAGAGCCTTTAATGCTGGCAAAGGTGCTATGATTCAGGATATACAAAAAAACCTTTTATTTTGTTTGCGGAAAAATCCGTGTTTCATGATTCACGAGTTTTCATTATACACGCGTATTTATAATGAATCGTCCATTTGACTTTCAGCTATAAATGAATGACGAATTTTTACATGTATTTTTGTTATTCTCACTTCAGATTACTTTGATCCAAGTCTGCGCCTCTCTATTTGAAAACAATTGCCGATGAACCTATCATCTATGACCGTCACTTTACAAGAAGGTGCATGTCTAATAATAAACTGCTGAACGTGTTATATGCAAAGAAACAATAAGGTTAATCACCAAAATCATTAGCGAAGATAATGTTGAGGTTGCTTTTTTCTGCGGTTGACAATATGGCAAAGATAAATGCTCAAAAAGACATCATGTACTTTAGTATCAATGGGATACCAGCATCAAGGATTCAGTTTCCAATCTTGGATGCGTTTGCGCTCGTTGTTTACAAGACACAAGACCACATTTAATTGTGACTATCAGTGAAAATATGTTTACCACAGGACAGATGGATTGCAATGAATACCTTACTGGAATTCCATAGAGATATTATCTTTTGCATAAAGATAGATATACATGTCATTGGTGAGTATAGAATTGATAAAAAATTAGATATTTAAATTCAAAAAATGGAAAGCATTTTATTTGAATGGGCATTGTGGCGCAGAAATTTTATTCACTATATTAATATTAATTATTACAATATTCAAATTAAATATCAGTATCCTACTAACAAAAGCCCTTTAATAAAACAAGCACTCGATAGAAAAAAATATATGAAATTAAAGTAGTAAACTTGTGTGCAACTTTGAGTCATGGTAATGTGACACGTCAAAATTGTAACTTTGTAGAGAAAGGTCTTAGTCTCTGAACTACGATTTTTTGGAAATTAAATGATCTACAAAAGTTCAATAATAGTAATAGTAAAATAATAATATTAAACGAAAGACAATCTCTCTTATTTAAAAAAAATATGATATTTAAAACATCTTGTTTCTATTTAAAAAAAAAGTTTGTTGGGGGCTCACAAATAAATTGCTATTAATAAATAAATGTAAAAATAAAAAATATCATAGTTGTTATGCTCAATTTTTTCCGATTTAAACACCATTTACTATTATAGAAATAATATTCAATCATTATATTATTTTTATTATTATCATTATAATTAATTGTTTTATGACGGAATCTTTGTTACACATGCAAACAATAATAATAATACAAGGTGTCTTTTTTAACGTTACTAAATTAAGAAAGATCTACATAATAAAAATATAAATCGGCACGTCGATTGAACTGTTAAAATTTTTTATTGGTTACTCCTATTATTAGAGGCCCTACATTATTATTCATTTTCATTTAATATCAGGCAGGTTATTCATTTCAGGAATAATCTTTAACTTTTATAAATAGACATAAAACATCATTTTCTCCCATGTTGGGTTTATTTGCAAATCTGATTAGTACGCCGATTGGATTACGTTAATAAATAAATAAATTTTTATGTTGATATTATGACCTAAAATAATCAAAATATAAATATAGAAACATGCAAATAAATATGTACATGTATAAAAAAAAATTTTTTTTCTTATTGGTGAACATTTAAATATTTACTAGACTAAATCCTTTTGTTGTACATCATCATCGCAAGACAATCACCCTTGTATTTTTGTCAGCATAATAATAAACAAATGTATGGAATACATGATTTGATTTTCTGCCAAACTTTCTCGTCATTTTTTTTTAAAAAAAATGATATATTAAATAAAAAGTTAAATGATCGTTTGAACACTGGAATTTTTCACATTACAGTGCTCCAATATGACGCATAATACCCCTGTTTCATTGAGTGTTCTATCTGTTCTAGTGTCCCATATTTCAGTTATTTGTCATTGGAATAGTAATTGAACTTGATTTCTTTGATGTACAACGTCATTCACTCAAATAGTATTCCTATCGTGACCCCAGATTCGAATGTTCGAAAGTCCTGAGTTATATATCCCAATTAAAGTAAATTTTTATAACAACTAAGAGTGTTACAATACTCTTGGCATAAAGATATCGTATATATTTATATTCAATAATTGATTGAATATTTTAATTAATAAAACTATTAACTAACTAATTAATTAATTGGATTGATAGTGTCGCTTGCTATGTTTTATTACATATACCCTCTGGATACTTTAGAGAAATTGGTACTTTATTTGACAGATTCGATATGTTCCATCTTCTTCTTCATTAAAATAATTTCAAATAAAACTATCTTTAGATCTTCAGATTTTTTACAACGTTCCACTACTTGGATATGATGATTCAAATTTGTCTCATTAACAATGTATAAATATATTATTATTATTATCACTGAAGGCATTTTAAAAATAATAATAAAGCAATACGAATATCACAAGAATTACGGATACTTGCATCAATTTCGAATATCTCGATTTTGCTTTTGCAAAAAATTTGTTTTTCTCCTCAATTAATTAATTAATTTTAGATATTTATTTATAGAAAGTTTGTGTGTTAGTGTTTGATATTACTACTATGGAAAATCATGAATGAATGAATTGCTATTATTGCAGGGCAAACGATGACTGTTTTATCTGGTATTTGTAAATAGAAAATTTTACGCCTTTATCATTGGGTTAATTAAGATCAGACCATCCCAAGATCGAACAACTGAAATTACTACATGTATTCGAGTATTTTATTTGATAAAATTTGAAATTTAAATCAAAAGCATTTTTAAATTCTTAGACAATTCTTTGTTTTTCAGTTATATCTCGCCCTACTTCTTCATTTTACATCCTGTTCTTCTATTCACCACTCACCGAATCTTTTCCTTTTTTAGTCTATAAATTCCCAATAATAAATCATTAAACAATAGAAAAATAGATTTTATAGTGTGATTTTTATTATTTCTGTAGATAAAATTATCTTAAAAATTCGATTAACCACCAATTCCTAATTAAATTAATGGACGAAAGCTGTAATACACCTAATATTTGAGGTTCCTATAAATATATATTTATCGGTAATTGTTACTGGACATTGATAGGGTGAGTTATAAACTGAGAAAAGGAAAAGGATGGGTTGGAAGTTAATAGGACAATAACAGTTATTTATCTTGTTTTGTATTTGCTAAACTTGAAATATTCGTTGGCCTTATAAATTTTTGGTCAAAATATAATATAGTAGCAACTCCTAACCTGTTCAAAAAACACGGTGAGGCTAGAACTCTAACCTGATGGCGGATATCATTCTATAAGTCAAATTAAATGGCTGTCTTTACAGCATGGTGTCAATACCTTACAAATTGTTTGACCATCAAAATTGGGAAGTTAATTAGTGGCCTTTTTTCCAAATTGGATAATAGCACTTTTTATAATAGTATAAATTATGCGTGTTACACGGTTATAATCTTTACTGTATATATATATATGCGCTGAAATTTTTTGTTGTATGGATACTCTTTAACACTTACCCACCCTTTTTAGTATAAGATAATTACACATATCCAATCAAAATAAAGAACAGGTAAGATAGCAAATTTATCACGTGCGCATATTTTAGCCAATAAAATCATTGTAATACAAACAAACAGAGTTTTGCCTATACATGTGAAGATTTTTTGAATTGATCGCCCTGAGAAAAGTTTTTTAGAATATATAGCATTATTTTTTTTTTATATTAAAACAGAAAATTTGAAAAAAATATAAATAGGTTGGATTAATTCTTTTGAATCAACAAATAAAATTTTTCGTAAAATTTTTTTTTAATAATAAAAAAAATCAAAAAATCAAACGCATATAATTATTATATTATTGAAACTTTTTATTTTTATCATTATTATTTATGTATAAAGAACAAAATGAGCAAAACAAACTCAAAAATAACGATAGCGCTCATAATAGTCCTAATGAGTTTTATTTTCATCCTTCAGCTTACAAGTTCAATTCCATCAACTAACATTGAACATTTACAAAAAAGACAACCAGTACCACAGGCGGATGATCGTAATTATCATTCGTTTATTTTCTTCATTTTTTTTAAAAAAAAAATTAAAAAATGATTTTTTATTTATTTATATGTTTATCTATTTTATTTCATAGCACCAAAACCAAAGGATGATCGTAATTATTTTTTCGTTTTTATTTCTTGAATCAAAAAGATGTTTGATTTATTTGTTTATTTATTTATTTTATTTCATAGCAAAACCAAAGGATGATCGTAATTATTTTTTCGTTTTTATTTCTTGAATCAAGAAATGATTTTTTATTTATTTATTTATTTTATTTATTTTATTTATTTTATTTCATAGCAAAACCAAAGGATGATCGTAATTATTTTTTCGTTTTTATTTCTTGAATCAAAAAATGATTTTTTATTTATTTATTTATTTTATTTATTTTATTTCATAGCAAAACCAAAGGATGACCGTAATTATCATTCGTTTATTTTTTCGTTTTATTTCTTGAATCAAGAAATGATTTTTTATTTATCTATTTATTTTATTTATTTTATTTCATAGCAAAACCAAAGGAAGATCGTAATTATCATTCGTTTATTTTTTCGTTTTATTTCTTGAATCAAGAAATGATTTTTTATTTATTTATTTATTTTATTTATTTTATTTCATAGCAAAACCAAAGGAAGATCGTAATTATCATTCGTTTATTTTTTCGTTTTA